GTCCAGTGGAGGGGGGGTGATGCTCCTCAGAGGTCCAAGTCCAGTGGGAAAGCAAGCATCCGCCTTTCTGGGTAACTCAAGTTATTATAACTAAGGAAAGGAGAATGGATACCAGACAAGCAGAACAGCAGGGGCCCAGCACAGATGCCCTGTCAGAAAGTCTCATATGCCCGTGTAAAGATGAAAGTACTACAGGGGTTTTGGGGTGAGTCAGTTTTTAGTGTTTCCAGTTCATCGTTCCCCAAAACATGTCTATAATTTCTCCCCTCCAGGCCTTAGAACACTTTCATATGGTAGCACCCCTGGCTTGTCCAGATCTTTTCCGTGAAAAGATAAGTCACAGGTGGATGATAAACATTTTTCTTCTGTTTAGACAATAGTTTTCCACTCACAGTGGCTTATTCTCTGAGTACAGCTTTAAGTCCTTTAGGAATCTATCAGACTGTATTATTTATAAATTAAAATAGGATGTTATTTTCATTTGTCAAATTCACTAGGATTTTTAATGTGTATTCTGGGATAACAGAGGCATTTCAAGTCAGTAAGCAATAGCTCATTAGATAAATGGTGCAGGGACGCTTAATGATCTAAGAACAACAGCAAGAGCAACAAAAACCATAAAACTAGATCACGGTCTCACACCTAACTCCAAAATAAATTCTTCAATCATTTCAAAGAGTTAAATGTAAAAAAAATGAGTCCAAAAGAAGTAGAAAAAAATATAAGGTTAATAATTATGTGTTCTCAGGGCGCCTGGCTGGCTCAGTGGGTGGAGCATGCAACTCTTGATCTCGGGGTTGTGGGCTCAAGCCCCACATTGGGTGTGGAGATTACTTGAAAATAAAATCTCTTAAAAATAATAATAATGGGGGCTCCTGGGTGGCTCAGTCAGTTAAGCGTCAGCCTCTGGCTCAGGTCATGATCCCAGGGTCCTGGGATCAGGCCCCGCATCAGGGTCTCTGCTCAGAGGGGAGTCTGCTTCTCCTTCTCCCACTCCCCCTGCTTGTGCTCTCTCTATATCTCTGTCAAATAAATAAATAAAATCTTTAATAATAATAATAATAATAATAATAATACTGATGTGTCCTAAGGGTAGGGAAGGCATTCCCAAACATAACTCTAGTGATAATAGAAACTATATATAAAAGAATTTACTCACTGAATTAGAGAAAAAGTAGTAAGTCCTAAATATCAAAAAAGTTTAACTTATTGATGACAAAAATGAAATGGGAAAAATATTTCTAACATAAATGTAACAGTTGGAAAATTTTATTTATCAGATTTGTGGGGGAACTAATTCTCCCTACCTCAACCCCTCCCCAAAAATGGCTGCCAAAGAGAAGATGAGCAATTCCTGTGAGCATTGCACCCAGCAGGTGCCTCACAAGTCAGCAGTGCAGGGCCTGAGTACATTTTAAAACTCTGTACTAGTGAGAGGACTGGAATAGTAAGAAGAGAAGATGTAGAGAGAGGGTAATATTTTTGTCATTGTTGTTGTAGTTTCACTTTTTTTATTTAAATTCAATTAATTAACATGTAATGTATTATTGGCATCAGAGGTACAGGTCTGTGATTCATCAGTCTTATGTAACATCCAGTGCTCATTACATCACATGCCCTACTTAATGTCCATCACCCAGTTACCTCATCCCCCCACCTACCTCCCCTCCTGAAACCCTCAGTTTGTCTCCTTTGATTAAGAGTGTTTTATGGTTTGTCTCCCTGAGAGGGGGTAATATTTTTAATAATTACCAAAATGAAAAATTTGAAAAGAGGCAGAACTATCTAGAAGGAATTAAGAAGATTTTTGTATATATCATTTAAAACCCTGCCCCTGACCCTTTAAGATAACTTACAGTAAAGTACAGTATTTCCTTCAAAGGTTCTGAAGATTTGGGGTTTTATTGGTTGAGACATGGTATGGTCTTTTGTTTTGTTTTTTGGTTGATTTTGCGGGGGGGTTCTCGTTTTTGTTGTTGGAGGTTTTTTTGGTATGAACAGCCAGAAGCAGAACCCAAAGCAGCCCAATTACTACATTGAGTTTGTCCATGTAAGTGGCAAAAAGATGAATACCCTTAATAAAGACGTTCTATTAGTCACTACAAAAAGGCAAATACTATTTTAAAAACAGGCAAAGGATTTGAATAGATAATACAATTAAAACAAAACATGATGAAAATGAAAAAATTGACCCCAATGGTGCTCAGAAACATGTAAAATTAAGAAAAAATGTTTTTTTCAAGAGTGCATCCCCTTTTCCTCTCAAAAAAATTGCCCGCAAATTAGGAGGACAAGAAAAACAAACAATATTTAGGGAAACTAGGCAACATACATAAATCCAGTGCATAATGTATAAAATCAGAAAGGGTCAAAGCAAAGCCAGGACGTACAGAGACATTCTATTCATGAGATAGTCAAAAGAACCTATGAATTTTTTAGGTATAAGCAATGGTGTACTGATAAATTTTGAACTAGTTCTCTAAGACAAACTGTGTGTATGTGTGTTATGTATGTATCCATACATGTAATAAATTTTATTGATATAAAAGTTGCATAGCATAAAAATAAATAAGAATAAGCCAAACAATACTCTTTATTGAAAAGTCCTCAGAGCCAATTGTTTATTTTTGCCAATTTCTTTTACCTGTAGCCAACCTATGGTTAAAATTAAGGAATGAGTGTAGTTCGAACCTGAATGTTGATTGCTATTTTCATTTATGTTAACAAGATGAATGTAAAACTACAAGATATATGTCAGAACTTCACTCATTTGCCAATGCTGTGAGTGACTATTTTGCTGAGTTGTATAATGCTTTCAAATACTGGAAAATATTTCCTGAATGTTTTATGCCATTCACCATGTAATATTTACAGAAACAACACACTTTTAAATTTAATCTGTATCATAAGCATTTTCTCCATCACTCTCTTATATCTAACAATCAACAAAACAATAAAACTGAAATTTGTAGTTCTTGTCTATTTCCAGGATCTAAATAATCCCATTATGCCTAAATTCAATCTACATAGTGAGGTCACTGAATGCAGAGTAGGGAAGAGATGCCAACAGTATACCATCACATAGTCTTTCCACCATTTATAGCACTTCTCACAATTTTGTATGTATTTTACTTATATGTTTTTAGTTTTTATCTATCTCCCCAAATCTGTAAGAGCAGAAATTTGTATCTCTTTTTTCTCTTTTGTATCCTAGTGCCTAGAACAGAACTTGACACATATAGTAAGCATTCAATAAATATTTGTTGAATAAAAAATAAAATGTTCAACTTACTATATGCCAGGTACTGTCCTAAATGTTTTACGTGTGTTAAGTCTAAAGTCCTCACTGCAATCCCATGAGGTGGCACTATTATGATTTTCATTTACCAGGTGAAACCAGAAGTGACTTATCCAAGTCACCCAGCAGGTAAGTGGTGGAGCCAGGATTTAAACTCAGGCACTTTGGCTCCAGATCTTGGACTCTTTACCACAATGCATTCTCTCAATATATCAGAGCCCTGATGCCGGCAAAAAGAAATCTCAGAATGTCAGATGTGTGGCAGACCTTAAAAGCAACCAGGTCACATTAGAGCAAGTGGACAAGTGTGGTATGCTGGAACCGATTCATTATCTGACAGGTTTGGTTTTGTAGAAAATGCTTAAAGACATTTTACAGCACTGTTGGAAATTGTGGGAAGTAAGAGTTCCAAGGAAAAATCTTCGCAAATGACAAAATAAGACAGTTATTAACTCCAGGAAAACGGTAAGTTGAATGAGAAAGGAAATGTAATCATAGTACACTGCTTGATTCAGCAAAAAATAGTATTTACCAAGTCATGATAATGAAAACAA